CTCTCTCGCGCTCAATTTCTGAAAACGAAAGGGGGAATATGTCCTATTTTGGGGGGAATTGGTTTTTAGCGGTTAATTCTCTGCCACGTCAGAATAGAGAGTCACATCAGCATCTTAAACACATATTAATCCCCCACGTGCAACGCACGTGATGAGTTTTCGCCGGAAAAGTGGCCGCCGACGAGAAAAAAGACCTAAATGGTACTTTTATTCAATTAAAATGTCTTATCGCCGAATTTCCTAATTAAAATACCTTGTTGGGAAATGGGGTTGAATTAAAATACCAATATGGGTATTTAGCCAAAAAAAATCTAACATAACTCCCAAACGGTTTTAACCGTTTGGGCTAAAGATATCCCAAACGAATTAAACCGTTTGGGTTCTTTCTTTGGGATTTTTTAATAGCTTAAACAATTTTAACCGTTTGGGTTCATTATCCCAAACGGTTAAAACCGTTTGGGCTATTTCGACTTGTCCAAACGGTTGTGATAACCGTTTGGGGGCTTTTTGGACACCCCTACCTCTATGTCTGTATATTTTGTTTCAGTTTTAAATGATGATAATTAATATAGACTTTGATAAGGTAATTAAATTTGAAACATGATATGAATTGGTTCTTTTTTTGTCTCCTTACCCTATAAGTTAAGGTCTTCCAGCTATTAGCTAATCTAATTATCTAATAATCCTAGCACATAGATCTCTTATTACGTTCTTTATGTGGGTTTAATGAATATTGGTAAAATCTAAACCATCTTAATTACATGAATATATCTAAATCATCGATTCACTTCATCATTTTATCATTCACATTTAAAATTTTTAATACTGAACAAGTATACCCACGTGCACTTTACTAGTGTTAATAAAAGGTGGAATGAAACCTTTTGTCCCAACACCGATCATAAAATTTCTTATGAAAAATATTAAAATGCTTAATTAGCTTTCTAAAATTTGGCCCTTTTTATATTCTCAAAAGAAGTTTTTATATTCTCAAAATAAGTGCTTGTCTTCCTATATAAACATAGAGTTATCTATTAACTCAACTAAAGCGGCAGATTAGTAAACTCCTCATCTAAGGGGTTACAGACCTCACCATATAGTTCAATTATTTTATAGGTCATTTCATAAGTTTAAATATTTCTTAAATTTCAGACAGAATCACTACTTTTATCCATTATATAAAAAAAAGAGAACGTGTTAGCGTCATTAAACCTAATTTAGCCCGTCAGATAACAATACATGGCAACGTGGTCATGGTGCATCTGTAGTATCTATGGAACGTATCAATTTTAGTTATCAACTAAAACAAATAATTCCATCCAAACATCTAGCTAATAAAATTATAGGGTACTTCTGCAAACACTCATGATTTAAGGGGTATATATGCAAATAACCCATAACCAAAACTAGAACATTTAACGGGAGTCGGTCTGATTCATGCACATTTCAGTACAACAAAACTTGTCATGCAATTGTGTATAAACAGCACGGGTACAAAACCCGTACAATTTTGATAAGATTCATGAAAATTTCGGAGTGGCTCAGAATAGGGAAACAGGTGAGCCTGGAACTTAAAATAAATGATGTACTGCATGAGTTTTTTTGTTATTACAGGCTTATTTACAAGGAGATGGTTTATATTTTACAAAGAGATTCATCAGGAGCTTCAGCCCTAAACAAATTACAAATAATATTTTAGGATCTCAAAAGCCTGCAACCATCGTCACAGGAATTTACTCTTTTGCATTGATTTCTCTCTATAAACCAGCCATCTGAAAATCTCTAAAGCAGATTGCCAAACATTTGAACCTGCAACACTCCTGCAACTCAATCTTTCTCTCAAGTGGGAATGGGTTGAGAGAGAAATCGAAGCGTTCCTTCGCAAGATAATTGCAATTATCATCTTATAGAACATGATATTGCATATTGAAGCCTATGCCCTACGCCCTACGTAATCTAGTGCTCCGGCGGGTAAGCTGAAACGAAACAAATATATATCATGCCCATCAAGGAGGAAATATACCAAAAATACCAAAAGGTCTAGTATTTACCATGCTTGTGTTCTCGTCAACTATATTTATATTGGAACTTTTCTTTAGCGAAGCTTTAGGCATTGACCTTTTGCTCTTTCCATTGTTAGCACCTGAAACACCAAAATTATGTCGTTTGTTTGCACTTCCTTAGGCTAGTAAACAATAGAAGCAAGAAGATACACACGAACACAGGCTGTTTGACTATCTGATTGAAATACCAACATAAGAAAAACCAAAGTTTTTTTTTTTTGAGTCGTACTAATTCCATTCCCTTGCCAAATAAGGAAATATGCTTTTTAACAATTTACATTCCCAAAAAGTCCTTTTGATGCCGACCCCAAAAAATTTGGGATGAGTTCTCATCGAGTCTCTGATTTTCCTCAAACAATAGGAAGTAGTGATGTGTTAGTGTTTCTTTTCCTTTTCCCCCCCTCCTGCATGCCCTGGAAGCGAAGAGGAGGTGCACTAGTCTTTGTAATGGTGGGATCATGGATTGGAGAATTAGATTTTTATTATACAGAAAGTCAGTCAAATGAAAATGATAAATCTATATACCAGCAGAAGGGAAACATCTGTGATCAAAACGTCCATTAAGTTCATCCAAAATAGCCGATTGGCCTTGAGAATCACTTTGGCCCAACACATCCATTGCATCCTCGTGTCTATTGCTGGATGAATCGAGCCTATAACGACAACATTTAGAGGATTCGGGTGTTATCAAAGAGAAATATTTATACAATAGTAATAAAAAAAATTCTTACCATACTGTAGGAGATTCATCTTTTGATTCTTTTGCAGATTTAGAAACATTAGTGGAATCTTTTTTACGGTCGTTCCTGAAAAAACTACAGATACCATTTTAAGTTATCTTAACCAAGGAGTTGCAGACTAATGTGATACAAAACCATGAATGATGTACAAGCACATGAATGAAGACATGATATTTTCTCAGCATATCTTTGTTTTTACCATCATCTTAGCATATCAATATATAGGCACAGAGGAATTCTCCACAAAAGCAACGAGTGAAAGAATAGGTGTTCTAATTATGAGATACAGAGACACAGAGAGAGGAATTATGAGGAAATCATAGTTTAAACTTTTAAGCTTTCTCACAGGACAGGTGCACCCTTGGGAAAGATAACATACTTGTACATTTTTTTACAAATACTTCGTGAAAAGAAACGGTTATTCCTGAATTGTTGAAGATCAACTAACAAGAGTAAGTGGCAAAAACAAAATTACAAAATGAATCACTTCATAACACTTTAGTTTCTTTGGATAATGTTATCCCAAAAAAAGGATAACAAAATATGTGGCATACTTGTAAAGTGTGATGCATGCAAAGTATAATATTTACTCACCACTCTCTAGGTTGAAAGTCACATGCCTGCACCAACAAAATGCATAATTCAATTAATGGATCCAATATTCCAAAGAATTATCAAAGAAGTTGATGTCAACCTTATCTGGTGATGTCCTGCTGTCTATAACCTCCCACTTTTCATCTGCCAGGTGCAGGAGCTCGACATTCCCATTATCGTAAGTAATCTTACAACCAAAAGGCATCAATTAGCACATAAACCACAGGTCATGTCCAACCAAATAACACAGAAATAATTGATTGATTTCTACGACAGTAACACAATGGAAGATGACAGCGATTGAATCTAAAAACCAGACTATGCAAAATTGATTGTTAAAACTGCTTCTATATTAGTTAAGTAATTCTGATAATGTAACAAAGCCAAGTATGGGAGAGATAAACCAGTATATGGACTTGTAGAAGACCGTTGTTACCCAAATGTTACCCACACCCAGTCTACAATACTAGGTGAAGGTACGAGAATTATAGAATAGGTCAAAGGCCGACAAGGTACTTTGCATTAAAATGTGACAGAAAATACATTCATTTGCAAAACGAATGAGGAAACACTTAAGTAATACAAGAATCATACACAGCACATGAGGGATAACTGTAGTGCTATTTATTCTTTCTAGAGTCACTATCTATAAAAAAAAGAGGCTGTCTGCAATTATTATTCTACGTACTACAAATCAGTTTATGTCAGGTAGCATAGTACCTTGTAGGAACTGCTTTGTGAATCATGTGAATTAACTGTCCCAGAACTAAAACTGCAAGGACAAGTTCATACCCTGTGAACGACACACTATATAAAATTTTAATTTGATGTTTAGCAGAGCTCACCACAAGTCAACAGGAGACCACAATCTTATCCTCTTTCCAACTAGCTCCTCACCACTGTCTCCAGCAACCTACACATTCTCAGCAAAACCATTGCTTTAGCAAGCTAACAAAGTTTAGACTCAGTCTGCACAGGTGATCACAATACCTTCGATTTCAGGCAACTGTGTGGAATTCCCTTTGTGACTTTCATTTGTTCCGTTATAAATATATTGCTTGTATTTTCTCTCTTTTTTGCTGCATGCAGAATGTGCTCTTTTTCTTTAGTTTGGTTAGGCAAAAGTGAACCTGGAAGTGATGGATTCATGCTAGCAGAACCACAAGAAGATAACCCCGTGTCAACAAGGATCAGGTTATCAGATTCAGGAGTTACATCGGTACTCTCATGAGCAGAGAAACTTCCAGGTGGTACAGGTGATTCTGAAGAATCCACAACTATCATCATTGGATTCGCTTTTGAGCCAACGTTCTGTGATTTTACTTCATCAACTCCCTTTCCGTGAATTTGGAAAGTATCATCCTGCCTTTTTGATTTACCCAACGAAGAATCAGCTTGTCTTTTCAAAGGCATATTGTTTGAGCTGTTCTTCATGGAATCCAAATTTTTAGTGTTCTCTCGAGATTTCATACGTCTGGAATCAGGAATAGCAGGCTGTATACAGGAAAATGTAACCATAGAGGCTAAGTGATTTGATGAAATAAAGAACAAATACAGAAAACTAAAATAAGGAATAGCTACCCCAGCAATATTAGATTCAAAAGTATCAAATATCTTTTTCACAAATGCTTCATCCAGGAACCTTTGGTTATGAGTATATGCCTACAAAATGCAATTAAAAATGTTAAAAATGGTCTCCAAATTGAAAGCTAACAGAAGTTAAGAGCCAACATGCATGTGAATGTGGGAAATAGCTTGCCTCTCTGTTTCTTGTATCTCGGGACACTTTATAAAGGGATGACGGCAGCAAAACTACACGAGGAGTGGTTGACAAAGGCTTGGACCGTTGACTTAGCACTTTCACAATGAATGAACCAATATCTGAAAGAGTATGCAATTTCTGCACAGAGATGAAGCATATTAATGAAAATCAAGTAACTATCAACAGTATAGCTTATCTTACAAGAGAGTAAATATCACATACTGGAGTAATTTCAACATCAACAGCATCCTCAGCCTTCTTAATTGCACGGAAAATTCCCAGCAAAAATGATAGTGTGTTACTGGAATCAATCTTATTTCTATCAACAGAGTCCAAATGAACCAGTGCTCGCAGGACAACAATTAATGGACTGCCAATGAACAAACAAGGTAACCACTAAGGATGAACAGGTGGTGGAATTTATAAACTATAAACGGGTAATCTGTTTCCATAAAGAAAATCATAAAAAAGAAACTTTTAATAATACCTGCAGAACTCAGCATAAGCATCTTCATCTTGACAGTTTTCAGAAGGAAAACTTTTGTCATGAGCAAGAACATGGAGCAAGAAGACTGTAATATACTCTGGACAGTTAGTCATTGCACCTCCATCTGCAGTGTGAACTGAAAGGTTCTGGTGGTTGTGATCATCTTTGGTGTGATCCTTTATAAAGTCAGTGAGATACCTGATTGACTACAAAAAAAAGGTAAGAAAGTTCAGTAATGCAGCTATAAGTTATGAAAACTATGAAGAAATAAATCTTAGTAGATATTGCTGGAAGAATAAAACTTACATCAGTTCGGATATCTGCCAGGTAATCCAAACAAGCAAATGCAAATGAACAGGCATATCTGTTCGGAAGTACATGATTTTTCAAAAGCTTATGTACTTTACACAAGAAAGACTTCCGTACCGAAAATGAGGGATCCTGCTAGATCATAGAAGAAACTTTATAGAATTTGCATGTGCTTAAAGCAGAAAAACCACTGCATAAACTCAAATAGAAACATTTTCCCCTTGTATAGATAAGCCTTTGTAGACGAAACTAGACGTGTTTCTTTATTTTTCCTCAAATATGCTTAAATTGCATATTGAGAGGGGGAGGGAGGAAGGGACACAGAATGATCCTCAGTGAGATAATAAAAATCTACATGTATACAAGATAAAAAATAAAGATTAAGATCACACAGCTTCTATTAAAATAAAAAATCCAAACTTTCAGGCCAATTATTCATGTTAATTGTCACCGAACAGTGCATTATATTGAATGTGGCAGAATTCATACCCTTGCCCTCATAATTGTCAAATGAAAAATCTTTGGTGGTATATACAAATCCCATCTAGTAGCAAGCCGAAGAATAGATTTTGCAGCAGTTAACCTGAGATGTGCCTCATCATCCTCACTGCAAATAAGAACCAACAAATTCACTTCATGTAGAAGTTTAGATAAGAATTCCATGCAGAATACAGTAAAAGGGAACCGATCATGCAGTATAATTTTTACATTTATTCTACAGTTATCATGGCAATGAGTATGATGAGAAAAAGGTAAAACATTAGATTCAAAAATCTATTCGTCAATTGATCTGCCATAGTAATGGAACGAAAAGCAATATGGTTCGCCAGTACTATGAGCAGATTAAATGGTAGCAGGCATACCTATTCAGAAGTTTAAGCATCAGAATGCATTAGAACAAAAGAAATTTGGAAACAAGTATTACAGCACTAAAGGCTGATGAAAGTCCCGAAGTTAAATCGTTTTCAAGAAACCGCACAATCAAGCAACCATCCAAGAATGAACTAGCTGAAGAGGCACACCTTAAGGAGCTCCTGTTCATGATGCCATTTCCCTTAATGGTGCCCAATAGGATGTCCAAGAAGTTCCTCATTTGTGGTCTGGCATGTGCTACTTTATGTGACAGAAAACCTTGAACAAGCATTTTCATCCCATAAATCTACAAAGTGGATGAATGTCAATCAAAAGCACAATGTTTAAGAATAAACTGGGGCCTATCTTGAAATAGAACTCAAATTAATGAAGCAATATAACACATTAGCAACTAAAGCATTGTGAAACAGATGAACTAAATAACAAATTTTAAAACTGAATAAAAATGCTAAATAAATACACCACAGATGGCAAGATTACATAGTTCATCAGAAAAAAAAATACACTAACAGATTTGTAGAAGGAAAATCCTATGGCTAAGTATAACTTGTGATATATCAAATTTGATTTTTTAGAACCCCAAATTTCAAGATTTCACAACCATATTCGTAAGGTTAAAAAAAAATCTCAAAACCTGACTAGAAGCGTTCCAATCTAAGCCACAAATCCATAAGCAGGACAAAGAAAGTCAAATCATATTTGCAATGGAATATAGTACAGTTTATTGAAAGTTTAAGATAAATCAATTATGGAGATCCCATATCACGAAATCAGATTACACAAGATGAGGCAAATGAATTGATGCAAATAGAAAGAAAAAAAAATGGAAATTAATTAGGTTCCAGATGTGCAGCAATACGAAAAGAAAAAGAACCAAAAGAATACTAATATATAACAGAAGTGACCTTTGGAAGAATATAGTGCAAATACCAAATTGATTCTGCAACATTTATTATGATATTATGGTTCCACTTGTTTACATGCCTCCTGTTTTTTACAGAAGACAAAGTGAGTAACCAACTTCCCATAATTGTCTTACTCTTCTCTCTCGATATTGCCTTCGAGAGCTGTCAGTGTCAGGAAATATTGTTCAAAACTCAAGAAAAGAAGCCTTGCTGAGTGTAAGATTTCTTTGTCTTTAGTTTTCATAATGCATATTTCACTTTGAAATGTGATGTAAGAAATAAATGTGATGAGAATACAGCTGGTTGCCAAATCCTAGCTACAAAATGGAACTTCCTTTTATTATCATCTTAACATTTTCAAATAATGATGACTGGCATGAGCATAACTTCAAGTTGACAAGAGCATTAACTAAGGTGTACATGGATATCAACCTGACATAAACCATCTATAGATTGCTAGAAGTAGCAAGCCAAGCTAACTATGAGCAAGGAGGACCCGCCATAGAACCTTGATTCTCAGTTGTAGGGAACTGGGATATACTTCTTTTAGGCGCATAGTTTAAGCCTCTGGTGTATATTATTAAACGTTTGAATTTGCCTAGATCAAAATGAGTCTAAGATGAAAGCAAATATACTTTAACAAACAGTTTGCGGAAGTATAAATCGTTCAACACAAATGACCTGAAAAATCATTATTTAAGTGAATATTAAAAATAATGCACACTATATGAACCATGGAAGAAAGAGTGGTTAATTAATTAGGACAATGAATTTTGGACAACTATTGTCGGGAGATATCATGCAGAACATTACAAAAAGCCAAGACCACTCAGCATATGGGGGTAGCACAGCAAGGTAAATGGTGCTGTGCTAAGATGTCTAGAAAACATAATAAATAAATATATAAATAAGCTAACATGCTCTTAGAAATATCAAAATACCCAAGTAGACTGATGAAAATCCGTACCAAAAGTTAGTCGTGAGGTGAGGTAGGTCCAATATCAGATAAAGCAGCAGATCAATTTAAAAGTCAGCAATAAGTAAAAAGAGAAACCCACAAAAAAGAAAAGAAATGTACCTTGAAAATTGACAGATTAAAGTTCAAGTTGTTTTTCCTAAAAGCTTAAGTACCTAGCCAAAATAAATAAAAGGAAAAAAAATAAACACCATCCTCAAATTGAATCATTGTTCAGACTTCCTGAACCACACATTTAACACCTATACACCAAGAAACAAAATAGTAATACCCTGCGCCAAAGTAAAATGGGATGGAAGAAAAGAAAATGACCCAGAAAATAAGTGACCAAAAAGATTTTATTGCAGGACAATTAACAGGAAAAAACAAAGAGCAGCGTGTGGTATATATGCTGTGATTTTGAGACATTTGCTATATGAGATAAACCCAAAAGTAGTGTTTTTGAGGATGGATAATAAACACTTTTAGATTCACTTTTATGCATAAGTAGCTTATAAAGCTAACAAAACGTGAACCTAAAATCACAAGGAATGGACAACATACATTTCTAGGTATAGTAGTTATAAATAACACTAACAGACAGATGCAGGGAGATTTCAATACTGTTAATAGGATTGACCCAAGAATAAAACGTGAAACCTATAAACCACCTAAATAGAAGAATCCCTCCGCTAATTGTAATTCCATTAAATAAAAATAAGAACTTCAGGAAGTTCTTTGTGCATCTGAACTTAAGAAATGAACAGTCAACAATGAGAAAAATAAGGTTAATGCCAGTTATGGACTGAGATGACCTAAAACCAATTAAAAGGCAAGGACTTGTATATTTAGTCACCATGCTCCTTGGCACATGCATGAGTACCCTTTCTTCTGAGTTGGAAGGGAGCAGCAAAGAGAAAAATATGCTAGCTTCCTCTATTATTTGTCATGTTATAATTTGAACTGGCACTGACCTTCAGTTTACAAGACGAGCTGCAAATCAAATTCTTATCAACAGAAGAATGCTCTTGTGATGAATAAGCCTGTAAAAAAAATGCACATAAAACACCCATTTCCTTAAAAAGCTTCCATGAGAAGTGAATTACAACTATGTGCTTGCAAAGACTTTTTTAATTGAAAGTTGTTAGCATATAGTTCATTATATAGGTAGTTTAATTACATCCAAGTTCCCTTTCAACAGTCAAATTTCTGAGAAGTGCAAAAGAATATATATAGGGAAGCTTTTCGCAGAAGATTCAATTTGGATGAGCAAACACAAAAGGTTTTGGTGTTAGATGGTAAGGGTTTGGTCTGAAAGGAGGGACAGTAGCAGGTTTGAACCTGGGTAGGGTATTGAATGGAGAAGACAGTGGCAACAAGGACGAAGAATAATAATAGGAGTAGGATTTTGCTTTCCTATGGAACTATAGTAAATACTGCAATCGTAGATCTCTTTGACTCTGATACTAATTAAAAAAGAAACAGACAGCAAGAGGTTTTTGGGATTATTATGGTTAGTTTAAACTAAAATATTAAAGGTGACAACATCTGAGTAATTCTATAGTTTTTTTTTTTTCCTTTATGCAGAAGAAGGTGAAAGCAGAAAAGAAGAACAATATTAGGATTTCAGCTTCATGCCTAATCCAGTAATTCACATGCAAAATCGAGAAAGAATTATCAATCTTCAATTAATCAACTAAGTGAAAGTCATACAATGATAATGTTCGATGACCCAGAGAATGCCAATTCAGATAAGACTGAGTTCTAATTCTAGTGAAACTAAGATAATAAAACAATTTAAAAGTCCTCAAAACAAATTTTATCCTAACAAAACTACAACAAAACAAAATAAAAGTTGCTCAATAAATCCAAATTAACGACACTGTATATATTCCAATCCTAGCTAGAGTAGCATTTCTTAACAAAAATTTCATTTCATGAGATGAGACTCAGATTAATTCATTTTATCTCAAATTCCCCCATGTATATATAAAACTTAGGTTGTTCTACATCAAAATATTTTATTGAGACTTAAAATATAATACATCTAGTACATACTACATAAACAGCTTTCTTTTAGGCTATGCTTAAGGGATTTATGCCGAAAACCTAAACATAAATTTAAATATGGCTTAGTATAGGCTAATAATAAAATGAAGCTCACCTCCAAAGAGCAGAAAATTTTCTCAATAATGAACTCCATTATCTGTTCCTCATATAACTCATAAGTTGAAAAAGAACATTTTGATATACAGCCCAAAGCCTGTAAGACAGTCGGGATGTTCCTCCCTTCATGCAAGGAAAGTACAAGTTTCTGCAAAGTGAAATGATTGAAATGATGAACTTGCAAAGGGAACCATGACTCTATAAGTAAATGACATGCCAATACAAACAGAAATCAATTCAAAAGGGCAAATACCAGACAAAAGAATAGTTCCACCAC